TTTATGCCCAACAGCACAAAGACCTTCTTTGTGTGAAAGAAGCATTAAAGTTCTAGTCAAATTTGCAAGTAAAAAGTGTGGAACTACTGGGGAACCACTAAAGCTTCCTTGTTTTTTCTTGCTAGGCTGTATATGGCAGAAGAATAACTGGTTTTATAAAGAACACCATCCCAAATTCACTGCTATGGTTAGAAGATTTGGAGCAAGGTACAAATGTCTACGTATTATCATCTCCATTAATGACGTGTGTGTGTTGTGTTGTGTTGTGTGTGTGTGTGCGCGTGCGTGCGTGCGTGCGTGCGTGTGTGTGTGTGTGTGTGTGTGTGTGGTGTTTGCATGCATGCAAGCTACAAGAATGAAGGCACTCATAAGGCATGCTGTGCATGTGCAGGTCAGATGACAGCCTGCAGGTGTTACTTCCCCTTGTGCCATGTGAGTACAGAGAATCTAACACGGTTTGTCAGGCATGCTTTGGTGACAATGCTGTTAGCTACTAAACCATCACTCAGGACACTCCATTTTAATTGTATTTACTGTTTTCATATTTACATGCCGTTGTCCACATTAAATGTCTGATCATGTGGTTAAAAGAAAAAAAATCTTTTAGATTCCAGAATTGAATGTTAGATATTTTCCCATAAGAAATGAAATAGAAGAGGGCATAGGTGAGTGTGTGTGTGTGTGTGTGTGTGTGTGTGTGTCTGTGTCTGTGTCTGTGTCTGTGTCTGTGTCTGTGTGCCTATGTCTGTGAATGTGTACTTTATTTTATGCTCTGTTTCCTGGACAACATCAAATGTTTGACATAGAGAGAATTTAGGGAAGAGAGTGAATATATTGGATATCCAATATATTAAAACTTCATATAATTATCATATTATTGTGCATTAATTTTGCTTATTACTACTATCATTCATATATTCACAAATACACAAATACACAAAATATATACATTGTTTGAAAATTAGATATTGCAAATTAGCTGTTGTATGTGATATCAGATAGAGGTAATATATTTTATTTCTGCCACAATTTTTTATCTAGAATATTTATTGATTTTACTTAGTTTTGTTACAAGTAAGAAAGAGTCAAAATTTAGTTGATTTAGTTTTTATGAAATCTTACACTACTGATTACTGATATTTTGGAGTATCATCTATTTAATGTATTCTGTACATACTGTAGGTGACCAAGGAGGCCAGAGGTTTCACATCCCCTGCAACAGGCATCTCAGTTGTGAAACACCTGACTTAGATGCAGGAACTCAAACTGAAGTCCTCTTGCAAAGCAACAAGGGCTCATCACCACTGAACCGTTTCTTTAGTCCCCTCGTATCTCATTAGCTTTATAAAATTTTTAGATACATTGATAAATATTTCTGCCGATTTCTGGATCATTTCTAAAATTGTTTCAAAGGAAACAGCAAAGAGTTAAAAATCACTCTCATATTACTACTCTGTGAGACAAATGTACTTTCTCCTTTTCTCCTCCTTTACCGAAAATAGATTCTTTTCTCATAGAATATCCTGATTAAAGTTTTCCCTCCCTCCACTTCCCCGATATCCAACCCAGCTCCTCTCCCATCCGGAACCTCCTATGATCTGTCTGTCATTCTAAGAGATAAAAGTAAAACATAACAAAATGCAACTCAGTGAGATAAACAGAAACATCACATCAGAGGTGGACAATGCAAACCAACAGAAGGAGGAGAGCCCAAGACAGGGCATGAGAACCAGAGACCCACTCCTCCACACACTCCGAAGTCCCACCAAACCACTAAAACGAATGCCATAACATATACACAGAGGACCTGGTGCTGACTCATCAGGGCGGGCTGCCTCAGTCTCTGTGAGTTCATATGAGCTGTGTTCAGTTCTTTAGACGGCTTTGTTCTCCTGGTGTCCTCCATCTTCTCTTGACTCATACATTTTCTGCCTTCTCTTCTGTGGGGTTTCCTGAGCTCTGAGGAGACAGATTTGATGGAGACATGTTTTCCAAAGTTGGTTTGTCTGTATCTCTCTCTGTCTATCTCTCTGTCTCTGTCTCTCTCTGTGTTTCTCTCTGTCTCTGTCTCTCTCTGTCCCTCTGTCTCTCTCTGTGTCCCTCTCTCTGTCTCTCTCTCAGTCCCTCTCTCTGTCTCTCTGTCTCTCCCTTCTCTCCTTCCTTTCTCTTTCTCTCCCCATAGTGTCTGGCTGTGTGTCTCTGCATTTGTTCCATTTGCTCCAGGAATCAATTTACCTTAAGATTGAGCTATATGACTTTGGGCATATATTCAAAGCACACTACATCCAACCACAGAGACCCTTGCTCAATCATACACATTGCTACTCTATTCCCAATTGACAGGAATTGGAAAGAACCTAGATATCCCTCAACAGAAGAATGGGTAAAGAAAAGGTGGTACATTTACACAATAGAACATTGCTCAGCTGTTAAAACAATGACATGAAGAAATTGGAATGCAAATGGATGGACCTATTAAAAATGATCCTGAGTGAGATAACCCAGACCCAGAAAGATAAGTTGGACTGTATTCACTTTTAAGTGGATATTAGCCATTAAGCATAAAACAACCAACCTATAGTCTGCCGACTTATTTTCTTTAGGCTACCTGATTTCTCTGGTTGTATGCTGGAACATTTGATAACATGTACTGATTCTTCTATAAGACAATGAATCGTGGTATCATCCACGATTCATTGATAGCTCACCTCACAACTGTCATAACCACTGAGAATGTCTGGAAGAAAGGTCCATCTGAAATGTAAGGTATATTCTTTCTAAACCCATACACTTTTTTTTTAAACAAAATAAAGAATATTGATATCATCATTGGGATAGGGAGAAACCAGATGCTAGTGAAGTTCCCAGGGATCCACAAGGTTGACCCTAGCTTAGACGACTAGCAATAGTGGAGAGGATGCCTGAACTGGCTTTCCCCAGTAATCAGATCAGTGAATATCCTGTCATCATAGAGCCTTTCCCAGTAACTGATGGAAGCAGATGCAGAGATCCACAGCCAAACACCAGGTCAAGCTCCAGGAGTCCAGTTGAAGAGAGAGAAGAGAGATTCTGTGAGCAAGGGGCATCAAGATCAAGATGAGGAAACATACAGAGAAAACCAAACCAAACTAGTGGGAACTCATGAAATTTAGACCAACACCTGTAGAGCCTCCATGGGACTGGACTAGGCCCTCTGCATAATCAAGACAGTTGTGTAGCTTGATCTGTTTAAGGAGCCCCCTGGAAGTAGGATCAGGATCCATCCCTGGTGCATGAGCAGGGTTTTTGGAGCCCACTACCTGTGGTGGGACACCTCACACAGCCTTGAGGCAGGGGGAGAGGCTTGGATTTGCCTCAACTGAATGTACCAGGCTTTGCTAACTTCCCATGGGAGGCCTTACCATCTTGTAGGAGTGAATGTGTTTTTTTTTCCAGGGGGAGGCTGAATGGGCAGGAGGAGAGAAGAGGGGGATCTGTGATTTCTTAATAAAAAAGAAAAAAAAAACTGTAAATTATCATGATTAAAAAAGAATACTTATAACACTACTCGATTGAAGTAAACTAGATAATCATCATTATACAATATTTGATATGAAGTAATAATCCCCTAATATTTAACATCAATCTACATCCAATTCTGTAAAGCTTTTGAAATTCTTTCTCATAGATTTTTAAAGGGAAAGCTGTCTATTGCATTTCATTCTGTGCTTGTGTTTGCTGGGTCATTATATCCTTTGTCTCTTTATCTTGAGCAATCTCAGCAGCACTAAAACCGTTACTGACTTTCTGAGATTTCAAATTAGTTGCTATTATACAGCTTACTTTACATCCTGGGCTAATTCGATCATTTCCTGTTGTTGTCAAGTAAGTTAGACCTGTATTGATTGTATTTCTTGAAGACTGGATATTAGATTTCAAGTCTTGCATCTTTTAGGTTAAATGTATTTCATGACTTTTTCCTAAGTAATATTTTTCTTTTGTTTTCCTTCATCAGAAAGCTTCTGTTGGGTTGCCCTATTTTTACTGATGTCAAGTTGAGTTTGTGGAACTTACTCAGTCAAATAAATTACCTTCTGATGCCCATAACTAATCTATAAGAAGATCATTTGACAGTGATTTTTATAACATTGCATACTTATTGTTTTCTAACTTATTACATCAATTCCTAATCAAATTCCTAATTTGAAATGAAGTTAAAATTAAAAGAGCTGGTATTTTAGTGTAAATTCTTTCCTTTGGCAACTCTATTCTTTCACCTTTGGCTAATACTTTGGAAGGCACTGGAGATATCATGACTAAAGGTATGGCTAAAGTATGAAATCTAGGCATCAGACTAGATTAAATTTCCTGGCTCTTAATAAGAATAAACACATCCATGGCTTTGCTTCTCACCTCTGCTTCACCATGTACAACATCTTTTTATTCTGTTTTTATATTATAGTTCCCCTTAAGTAAGTCAGAAACATGTGCAATCAAAATAGGAGTAGGAAAATGAAAAAAAGTTTCTTCTTTAGCCTCATCTGAAAAGCATGAAGAATGATTCTGATCATCATAGATTGGGCTCCAGAGATGCTCCCAGAGCCAGGAGATGCAAGAAGAAGCAATGATATGTTAGCAGTCAATTGATTTGACGTGATTCTGGGAAACTGTACAATAATGTGGTAAGAAGTTGTCTTAACTTATAATAGATATAATAGAGTTGAGAAAGAATGACTTATATAGTTGTAAAGTTCAAAAAGAGACAAAAGGTTTAATTATGAAAACAATGATTTTTAAATGATAATTGAGATAAATAATTCATTTAAAAATACTACAAAACTAAGAAATTTTTTGTTGTTCTTTCTTTCCTTCAAGTGGCAACAGATGGAAGGTCCATTAATTAGTACAATGACTTCAACATCTCTTTTTGGGATATGGAAATTGAAGGTTTCCTTTAAATATAAGCAAAATAGCTCTATTATTGGAGCTAGCAGGCATTAAAAATATTATTCTTGTGTGATTCTTTACCTTCTAAAATACATTTTATTTACTTTTTTTCCTTTACTGACTGTAACGCTTCAAAATTTTAGTTTCTTAACCATGGAATAAGTCACCTATACAGTAATTGAATTATGTACAACCTAGTATTGATGTATTCAATCATTTACCATTGATCAAAGAAAATGAAAAACCAGAACCTCTAACCTAATTTTTGAAATTATAAACTGAATCAATTTGTCTCTTAGGGAATACAAGATGATCTTTCACCTAAAAGGGCTTGCCTCATAAGCCTGAAGACCTGAGTTTGATTCCCAGATCCCATGTGAAGGTAGAAAGAAAACCAGACGCTATGCAGTTCTCTGATCTCCACAACGAGCCCTGACATAAAGTACCCCTGCCTATCCCCACAAATATACCATACACACAAATGTTCACAACAGTAATAAATAAAACTAAAATTTAAAATAATATCCCCTGAAAACAGTTAAAATGTATAAGAGATTTAATAAACAATGACAAATATTTAGCCAAATTATTTTCTCTTTTGACTTCATTCAACACTGCTCAGACTTGTCAATAAAACAGCAAAACCAAAAGAAAGATAGTTTTAATTAGTATCATTTCTACTGTAATGCTTATTATGAAAATGTGATCTCTTCTCAAACATGAGAGACACGTGTGAATTCAAGGTTCCTTACATGTGATTTTGTTATAGATAAGCCTTAGTTGAAAGTACATTTGTATAAGGAACCGTGGAACTTCACAGAATACTAGCACAGACATATCTCAAATATGACTGGCTGTTTCTGCTGCTGATGGGCATCATGATTCAGCTCCATCTCCCACAGATGCTGATAGGATCGCTTGTAGAATTATATAGAAAATGTTGACTCTTTTTCAAGATACATATTGTCTCATGATTTTTACCATTTAGTCTTATATGAACCTATACTACCAACATTTTTCAGTTTCCTGAACTTTCCATTGCATTATTTACAGTCATAGCATTGTGTCTTCACTCTATTTGTCTTGTAAGTGCAATTATTTTCATAGTATAATTACTGCGGCAGAGTGAGTTTTAGGCATGTTTGTGTGTCTCTTTTTGTTTGTATATATTACATATTGTTTATAAACATTTTAGATATTAAAGTAAAATTAACTTTGCATATATATTTGTGCATACTTGGTTGGTTTTTTACAAGCTTTGTGAACAAGATAATTTTGGGGTATGTAAGTAATTGAATATTACCAAAGTTGCCTTTTATGTGATCTTTGGATGGGTTTACTGTAAATTTTATAAAGTTATTTGAAATGTACAGAATATACTTGCACAAATAAATGTGTTATTTGTAATTAAATGTAATGTTGATGTAAGTCAGTAAAAATATGGTATTGAAAATGTGCGATATTTGTACCATGGTTGTTATCTAAAGAATTTTTAATGTTTAATATTTTTAACATAATTCTTTATTGGTTCTTCGGGAGTTTCACATTATGCACCCAAATCCTGCTCATCTCCCAGTCCCTCCATATCTGCCTCTTACCTCTGCAGCACGCCCCCATGAATTAGTTAAATAAATAAATAAATAAATAAATAAATAAATAAATAAATAAATAAATAAAATTCCTTGCTCCTCCATCTTTCCAATACCTTGTCACTCATCCAGATGGCATCAGGAACTATGGTCTTTAATATTTTGTCAAAACTCTAGTTTTTATACAGCAGTGTTATATGAACAGCTGTCTGGAGTGTAGAGTTGAATCATTGTGTATAAATTTATTGCTGATCAATCATGAAAGTTTAATTACTTTAAAAAACATACATAGAAACTCCAAAACACCACAGTTTCTTGTGGAACAAAATGGGAAATGAAGTATAACACTTAAAATGGGAGGGGGAAAAAATATATATACTTTAAGTGGCACAATTTATACTCAAGTATCAAATAACTTCCTAGTAACCGTTTCAAACAATATATTTTTCATTTATCAGTGTATATATGTTATGTAAACATTTTAATTACTAAATTTTAAAATGTGTCCCTTATCAGTACCAATGACTCTAAATATATAACCAGTAAAAACAGTGCATAATTAACTTTTAAATATATAATGGTTGGCTTTGTATACTCTCTAAAACTTACTGCATATTCTTTGCATAAAATATTTCTTTAGATAATAAAATAATTTTGAATTTCAGAAATCCATCATATTTCAAAAGTAACTTTAAGATCTGTTACAGTCCCTGTTTCAAAAGCAGACAAGCATAACTCAGAAAACTGTTTAAAGATTTTTTTTTTTCAAAAGGAAGCTTATTTCTAATTTTCCCACTGACATTTCTTGGCAGAATCAGTATACTAAAGTCTCTTTAAACAAGTGTTTATTAAACAATCTGTGTAAGTAGAAAAGTAAATATTTTGCCTTGTTCTCAGACTTTAACATATGGCTTATAAAGTATGTGATATGTACCCACATGATTAAGATTTTCTGTGGTGTCCAGTGGACCTGCTTATGGGAAAATGCAAACTCAACTATGTAAAAATAGTAAATGCTGAAAAAGTCATGTTAAAAAGAAATGAAGATAAACTTTTATTAAATTATTCTGGCAAGAGCTTTTTGACTAATATAAGTTATACAACCTGAGAGAAATGGTTTTAAAGACAGTTAACAGTTTATAGTCTATACTCTTCCTCAACATACATAACTGTATACTTATCATGTTAATGGATTGTGCATGTTGTGTTGATAATGAGTGAGCATATCTAAAATAGCACATAATAAACCTTAATCTAAATTGCTGAATATATAATGGAAATAAATATGTGTAAAATAAAATAGTCTACAAGCTTTATGTCATTGTCACATTGCTATGATATAAAGGAATTTTAAATTTTAAGAAGAGCTCAGCTGCTAAAGGTTTGTGAAAATATTAAGGCTCATTTGTAAAGATACCGATGGATTGTCACAGAAGCAAGACCCATGGCTTCCTCTAGTGTGCTAGTGACCTCTGCTGCGTAACTCCATTTCACTATTTATGAAAGGTGATGTGCCAAACAAAATCTCCAATCTAAAAGGAAACTCAACCAAAGCCAAGGTCTCGAGCTTAGGTTATATGATGTCACCTTCTGAAGCCTACAGAATTCAGCACCATTTGGACCGATGGAAAAAAATACAATTGAATATAAGTTTTTAGGACAATGCTATGGGTCATTGACTTCAGATTAGTAAAATGGGCTTACATTTTCATATTACCATAGAAACATTTCAATTTTACTATCCAGAGACTCTCTCTCTCTCTCACAAAACTGGTTTAAAGCTTTTTCAAACTTCAAATAAATCCTATTATAAATTATAAAAACATTTCTAAAATGTGTTGTCATATCTTCAAAAATGGAAAATGACATAAAGAAAAGCTAGTTTTGAATATAAATATTATTTACACTAAAATGTTACATCTTGGATATACTTGATACATAAGTAATTTGTTTATATTTACTTAAGTAAATTCTGAAGGAAGAATATAATTTTAAAGTTTTAATGCCTTAATATCTGCATCTTTTTTTTTAATAATTAGAGCTGCTGATAGATGTAATGAACCTCTCTCATCCTGGTATTTTTCCTGAGACGCCCAGCTCTCAACAGGCTGAGTGTCCTTTTGCTTTCCCTACACAGAAAGTGTACACAAGTAAGAACGATTTTCCCACATAAAGGCTTCTTCCTGCTTTCCTTTCCATCCCTTGTCAGCAGCAGGAGGCACAGTAGGGAGCTGGAAGGAACAGCAGGCGATAGTACCTGCTGTTGTACTAGGGGAGGCCCCTATTGCTGCAGTAGGTGATGCTCCCTGCTGTTACCGTAGATGAGGACCTGTTGTTACAGTAGATGAGGTACCCATTTTTACAGTAGGTGATACTCCCTGTTGTTACAGTGGGTGAGGCCCCTGCTGTTACAGTTGGCTTTACCCCCTATTTTTACAGTAGTTGAGGCCCCTGTTGCTAAAGCAGGTATAACCCCAGATTGTTACAGTAGATGGTGCCCCCATTATTAGAGTAGGTGATGCCCTTATTGTTA